GTCCTGCAGGGGGCTAATGAAGAAACACTCGAGCCAGAAACAGCCAGCTGATGCCCTGGTAAAGAAGATCTCTACTGGTGCTGCTAGGAAAAAGCGGCGGGTCGTAGTAGTAGGGGACTCTACACTGAAAGGGACAGAAGCACTTGTCTGCTGGCCAGACCCCGTCTCAAGGGAGGTGTGTTGCCTACCAGGGGCACGGATCAGGGATGTGGCAGAGAGACTGCCTGCTCTAATAAGTCCCACGGACTGTTACCCACTCCTGGTGATACATGTGGGTGCTAGGGATATAGATAGTAGTAGCCTGGGGAACATAAAGAAGGACTACAGAGCCCTGGGGGAGGTGGTTAGGGGCTCTGGAGCTCAGGTGGTCTTTTCATCAATTCTCCAGGATACAGGGGAGGACCTAAAAAAAGCTAGGAGGATTAGCCAGGTTAATAACTGGTTAAAAGGGTGGTGTCATAGTCAGGGATTTGGGTGTCTTGAACACGGGACCCAAGCTTGTAGGCCAGGTCTAGTGGGGGCTGGTGGAGCTGGTCTGATGATGAAGGGAAAGAGCAGTTTTGGTAGGAGGCTTGCCAGACTGGTCAAGGAGGCTTTAAACTGGATGTGTTGGGGGAGGGGGTCATCATTCCATCCCAACACACCCAGTCAGTTGCCAGAACCTATAATAAATGCTTGGAGCAATGTAGAGATATCCCAGCTGCTCCAGCCAATGAGCCGGCTTCAGTTGGAGCTTGGCTCAGATGCCTCTACACAAATGCCTGTAGCATGGGGAACAAACAAGAGGAATTAGAGATGTGTGCATGCCTATGGGGGTATGATATAATAGGCATCACAGAAACATGGTGGGATGGCTCCTACAACTGGAGTGTTGGAATGGAACAGGCTTGGCAGGCGGGGAGGGGGAGTTGCCCTTTATGTTAGGGATAGGTTGGAGAGTATGGAACTCTGTCTGGTGACAGGTGAGCAGTCCACAGAGAGTTTGTGGGTCAGGGTTAAAGGGAATATAGCTGTGGGAGACATTACTGTGGGGATGTGTTACAGACCACCTGATCAAGGAGAACCTGCGGATGAAGCACGCCATAGACAGATAGGAAAAGCCTCACGCTCGCAGGCCCTTGTTCTCAGGGGTGACTTCAACCACCCTGACATCTGTTGGAAGGATGGTACGGCCTGGCACAAGCAATCCAGGAGGTTCCTCGATTGTGTAGAAGACAACTTCCTTCTGCAAGTAATAGGGGAGCCAACAAGGAGAGGTGCCATGCTTGACCTTGTGCTCACCAACAGGGAAGGGCTCGTTGGAAATGTGATGCTCCAGGGCAGCCTTGGATGCAGCGATCATGAGATGCTCGAATTTGAGATCCTCAGGACAGTGAGAAGAGTGTGCAGCAAGCTCACTGCCCTGGACTTCAAAAGAGCAGACTTTGGCCTCTTCAGGAACCTGCTTTGGAAGGTTCCATGGGATACAACCCTAGAGGGCAGGGGGGCCCAAGACTGCTGGTTGATATTCAAGGATCACCTACTACAAGCTCAGGAGTGTTGCATCCCAACTAGAAGGAAGTGCAGCAGGAGGGCCAGGAGACCTCCTTGGATGGATAAGGAGCTCCTGAGGAAAATTCAAATGAAAAAAGAGGCTTATAATAAGTGGAAGCAAGGACAGGCGGCCTGGGAAGAGTACAGGGATGTTGTCCTAGAAGCTAGGGACCAGGTTAGGAAAGCTAAGGCCCAGTTAGAATTAAACTTAGCTAGAGATATTAAAGATAATAGGAAGGGATTCTACAGGTACATAGCAAATAAAAAACAGACTAGGGAGAATGTAGGCCCCCTCAGGAAGCTCTCAGGAGAAGAGGCTACACAGGATTTGGAGAAGGCTGAGGTTCTGAATGACTTCTTTGCCTCGGTCTTCACTGGCAAAGGCTCTGACCACACCACCCAAGTCTTGGAAGGCAGATGCAGGGACTGTGAGAATGAAGACCTTGGGCCCACTGTAGGAATTGGTTCGAGACCATCTTAAAAATCTGAATGTGCACAAGTCCATGGGTCCTGATGAGATCCATCCACGGGTCCTGAAGGAGCTGGAGAATGAAGTTGCGAAGCCACTGGCCATCATATTTGAGAAATCATGGCAGTCAGGTGAAGTTCCCGATGACTGGAAAAAGGGAAATATAACCCCCATTTTCAAGAAGGGGAAAATGGATGACCCGGGGAATTACAGAGCAGTCAGTCTCACCTCTGTGCCTGGCAAAATCTTGGAGCAGATTCTCCTGGATGGCACATGAAAATCAAGAAGGTGCTTGGTGACAGCCAGCATGGCTTCACTAAGGGGAAATCCTGCCTGACCAATTTGGTGGCCTCCTATGATGGGGCTATGGAACTGATGGACAGGGGTAGAGCAGTTGATGTCATCTACCTGGACTTGTGTAAAGCGTTCGACACTGTCCCACACAACATCCTTGTCTCTAAATTGGAGAGACATCAATTTGATGGATGGACCACTTGGTGGATAAAGAACTGGCTGGATGGCTGCACACAAAGAGTTGTGGTCAATGGCTCAATGTCCGGCTGGAGACCAGTAATGAGTGGCTTCCCTCAGGGATCGATGTTGGGACCGGTCTTGTTTAACATCTTTGTTGATGACACAAACAGTGGGATTGAGTGCGCCCTCAGCAAGTTTGCCGATGACACCAAGCTGTGTGGTTCGGTTGATATGTTGGAGGGAAGGAATGCCATCCAGAGGGACCTTGACACACTTGTGAGGTGGGCTGATGCCAACCTCATGAAGTTTAACCACGCCAAGTGCAAGGTCCTACACCTGGGTCGGAGCAATCCCAGGCACAGTTACAGGTTGGGCAGAGAAGAGATTCAGAGCAGCCCTGCGGAGAAGGACTTGGGGGTGTTGGCTGATGAGAAAATGAACATGGGCCGGCTTCAGTGTGCACTTGCAGCCCAGAAAGCCAACCGTATCCTGGGCTGCATCAAAAGGAGTGTGACCAGCAGGTCGAAGGAGGTGATCCTGCGCCTCTACTCTGCTCTCGTGAGACCTCACCTGGAGTATTGTGTGCAGTTCTGGTGTCCTCAACATAAAAAGGACATGGAACTGTTGGAACAAGTCCAGAGAAGGGCCAGGAGGATGATCAGGGGACTGGAGCACCTCCCGTATGAAGACAGGCTGAGAAAGTTGGGGCTGTTCAGCCTGGAGAAGAGAAGGGTGCGTGGAGACCTCATAGCAGCCTTCCGGTATCTGGAGGGGGCCTGTAGGGATGCTGGAGAGGGACTCTTCATTAGGGACTGTAGTGATAGGACAAGGGGTAACGAGTTAAAACTTAACCAGGGGAAGTTTAGGTTGGATATAAGAAGGAAATTCTTTCCTGTTAGGGTGGTGAGGCACTGGAATAGGTTGCCCAGGGAGGTTTTGAATGCTCCATCCCTGGCAGTGTTCAAGACCAGGTTGAACGAGGCCTTGGGTGATATGATTTAGGATAAGGTGTCCCTGCCCACGGCAGGGGGGTTGGAACTTGATGATCTTAAGGTCCTTTCCAACCCTAATTATTCTATGATTCTATGAAATAAAGTAATGTATAATAATAATAACAACAATAACAACAACAATAATAAAAAGTAATGAAAAGGGAGATAACAAAAAGAGAGGGGAATAAACCCCAAGAAATACAAGTCATACACAATACATTTTCTCACCACTCACTGAACAACACCCATCCAGTCTGGCAGCAGCATGTGGCACCTCCTGGCCAATTACCAGCAGTTTCTATACTGAGCATGATGTGCTGTGGTATGGAATATCCCTTTGGCTAGTTTGGGTCAGGTGTCCTGTCTCTGCTCTTTCTCAACTTCTTGTGCCCCTCCTCACTGGCAGAGCACGAGACTGGAAAGTTCTTGATGAGGCGAAGTGCTACGTAGCAACAATTAAAACATTGGTGTGTTGTTCTCACATTAAATCCAAAACTCCAGCACTACACCAGCTACTAAGAAGAAAATTAACCCAAGCCAATACCAGGACAGGTGAATGTGTATTGGACTTGTTTAAGGGAGACCCTTCAAGTCTGACCCGATGAAAGCTGGGTTGTACAATTGTGATTCATATTTTAGGATCATTCATTCTCTAAATTAAACCAATGGGATTTTTTTTTACTGACATGAATGGGTGTAAGATTAAGCATTTGCTCCACTGTGATTCCCTTGGAGAATGTGGGACTAGGGTAAAGTTAGCTGATGCTCATTAGAAGTATCAAAATTTGGCCTACAAAAGCAAGCACATCTTCCCCCTCCATCAGGAAAAGTGTGTCAACTGGGAGCAACACATTCATTTCTTCAGACAGATGCACACTTGAATTAAACTCCCTCAGAGTTAGGAGGATTATTCTGCCTTTCTATCTGTGCAAGAGAAAGGCAGAGCTGCTTCAAGACATTCAGCCCCAAGAGATTTAAACTCTGCCAGTTCCTACAAAGTGTTGAAATTGATACAATATGTCTGGAATTAATTTTTCCTCGGATACTGCAGGCAGTTTTCAGATGTGTTGGTGCCTGCTCTGTAAATGAAGGAGTGACTGTAAGATTACAGATAGCTGGTTTGTATTTGCAGCATTTGGGAACAAAGAGGGGAAAAGAAATCCAAAACATGAGCAGCAGACATAAAAAGCAGGAAAAACACAGAGCCAGCACTGACAGCTATACAGCAAATGTAGGAGCATAGTCCTACCCCTTAGTGGGAGTACTATGCTGCTCAACATCAAATAGACCGAAACAGGACATGTCATGGGTAGGAAAGAGGAAGGAATTAAAATCAGCCAGATCCCAGGAAAGTCTGGTAATGGAGGATATTTAAAATTTATCTATCTTTGTTCTGATATAATTTCTAGGTTTGGGTTTGTTGGTTGGTTTTGGTTGGTTGGTTGTTTTTTTTCTGTGGGGGTTGTTTTTTGTTTTTCTTTTTGTTGAGTTTTTTTCCATAGAGTGTGATAGACCAGTTATTGGCAAAATGTTTCATTTTCAGCAAAAGTGATGGTAGACCCAATGAATCATCTGTCTGATACAGAACTGTTCTACAGCTTGTCTCATTCCCTCACTGATGTTCTTGTATTGCTATGAAAGATTTTTCTGTCTGAGGGCATTGACCAGGATAGCTCCTGTGGCAGGGTCACATGTGGTTGTGCTGGTGGACAGTTAACTGCATCCTTTGACTTAATGCCACTTAACAACCCAGGTACGAATGGGCATGGGCACATTGGGAAGGGTTGAGCTTAGTCCATGTTAGATCCTCTCCTGTCTCTCTCAGCTTGAGAAATCTGTGTTTCTAAGTTCTTGTGTGCATGTTCTGGTCTGGAAATAAATACACTTTATTATAGGAAGCATAGGAATAAACCCTAATTTAGTGGAAGCTGGATCAGCCTCTCTTCCATTAAAAAAATACAAAACAACACATCACATTTCCTTTTTGTTTTGCTAATTATTTTTTTAAGTCCAGACTTTACTACATTCATTAGTATTTTACAGCATAGTAAACAGGTAATCTTACAGGTTTGGCAAAAGTAGTTGAATCTGAGTGATGTGCTACATTACAGTTGCCCCAGCAGCAAATCCACTTCAAACAAGTTTGAGGGCATAACCACAGAAAAATTGAGTAAGCACACCTGAAAGGGCTGAAGCACCCGTGGGTGGGGGCTTGAACTCAGGCAAACCTATTACACTGGCTTTGCTGGTGGACCAATCCTGGTGTGGAACCATCCCCTTAGTAGTCAAAGAGCTTTGGCACAGGGGCAGCTGTGAACTTGCTGCTATGAAAGAGGATGAGGTGATAGAGCTGTAAGGAAGCACATTTTTGCTTGCCTTGCAGCCTCAGCAAGCGAGATTCTGCTTTGATTGTACTGCCAGATGTCAAAGCAATGGTGAATTGCCAACCCCAGCTAACTAATGTCAGAGGAGGAAGTGTGAAGTGCTGACAAGTATAACCATCATATAAAATACACTTACTCTGTAAAGGATAGGTCCCAAAAGGCCCATAGCATATGCATGTACCTGCTTGGACAATGTGGTCTGTGCAGTGATGTGCATGCTACTTCAAGCACCATGAGATACTTTACCTTATAAGAGGGGACTTATTGTGAAAGAGTATTTGGACATTTCCACTGTAAGCATAAAAATATATTGGAGGCAAGAGAGGTGATAAATAAGGGTTGCTCACAATATTTATTGTTTTTATGCTTCTCACAGGTGTGGGGTAGGAAAGGGATGAAGGGGCTGTTACTGCTGCTCTTAAGGAAGAAGAAAATGGGAGCACAGAGACCCAGAGGAACAGACCCACTTGTTAATGGTCCCATTGGTGAACCTGTGGAAATAATAGAGATTACAGACTGCATTAGGATAAATGCCTTCTCTACTAATAAGTTAAACAAGATGGGAAAAAAGCCATGTGCAGAGATGTCAAAGCTTGAGCGATGAAACCACAGACATATTGTTCCCTTGGGTTCATGCACAGGCAGAGCTCCAACTCTAGCTCTCCCAGGTTTAGGAAGGGTCGTCTCCATCCTACCTTTTCCCCCACCCTGTACAGCAACCTGAGTCCTTAATAGCATTTATCTTCTCCACTCCTTTCACAAAATCTGTGGACGCTTCATACATGTCAGGTCTCTATTTCCCTCCCCCTGTCAACTAGTTTAAATTTGGATGATACAGCTGACAGTGATGGGACTGGGAGGAGAAGGATGTGGATGGCAGACGGTGCCGTTACATAAGCCTGTAGGCTTTCAAAAGGAAATGTGGCTAAAAATTGAACATCCTGGTATTTTATATTGCTAATTATCAGAAGACACCATGAAACCTCTGCTAATGAGGAGCACAGTATATATGTGTTGAAGTGGATCATGTTTTCATCAGCACAAATATCAGGGTAGCAAAGTAGAAAGTCTGAGTAGCTTTTGGTTATTTAATTTGGGTATCAACATAGATTTTACATAGGGGAGGGATCTTAGGTTTAGTTAATTATTAAGCAGGTTCTCTTGCTGCCTGATCACCTTTGTAAAGAGGTTATTGTGAAAACACAGGAGAGAAATATTGAAGCCTCATGATCATACTATTTTTCATGCCCTGATTACCTGGCCAAAATCCTACTCTCTGCTGAGTCAGTCTTTGCTGAGATTAGTGGAAATGCTTTTGATTTACAGTGGAATATGAATTAGCCAGAATGTACCCAGAGGAGAGAGAGAATGCTATTTAATATGATTAAAAAATGAGAAAGAGAAGCTGAAATAGCTTTTGTCTGTAGCATAATACTGTTCACAAAGAGTTGTGACATCTCTGCATATCCCAGGGCTAGAAAAGCATGATGTTTTGATATTTGCTCCTTTAAAAAAAAACAAAAAAACAAAAAAACTGCCCTGCTAACAATCACTTTTTTGGGCTATAACAGCTCCATATCCACTTAAAATTACTTGAAAGATACTGGAAGGCAAAGCACCCAGTAGGAATATGTAGTCATTGAAGTACCTTCTTCACAGTGTTCTAGAGATCCTGGTAGTGCAGGGGTTAACCTGAGGCTAGGGAAAGTGCTGGGAAGATCAGCATTGAGGGAGCCTTGAGGATGGGAAGGGATTTACTGTGAGCTTTGGAATATGTTCATTATAATTTTGCTCTGGAAATGAAGAGAAATGAATAAATACACTGAAAAGCAAGAGCATGGAGGAGACAGTGAAAGCAGCAGCAGTGTGGACATGGTAAGGATGCTCACCACAAAGCAGCAATACTATCACAGCAGAGACCAATGACTCTGACAGGTGCTCTCTGGACTCCCACCTGCCTGCAGCTGGATCAGCTGCCGAGGGCCAACATGCAACCCTGACCTGCTGTGGTAGCCCAGATCCGGACCATCACATGCAGGTCACCAGTAGGCAGGATTGCAGCAGCACTGGAGGATATCAAAGACCCAGAACGGATTCTCCACCCCAGCACAAACATTCTGTCCCTCACAAAGCACAGAGATGAGGCCTCCCCATTTCCTGTGCCAGCTGCTAGGATGTGCTGCCTCATTTTAACCAAATGGTAAATGAAGAGATAAGAAATCCAAATACCATGGCTGAAAGAGAAACATCAATTCCTAGAAAAACTCCCAAGACTTTTCTGCTTCTTATTTCTTGGGTCTGCTCCCCTCATAAAATGGGCAACAACCAAGCAACTGGGGAAGAGAAAGGAAACTTAGATTACACAAAATTTTGCATCAGGGACTCTGGTTTGAGACCTCGGTATCTATTTGAACCTAACTCTTCTCTTTGCTTCATTTGCTTCCCCTGGTTCCTTCAAGCACATTGCCTTACCAATGCAGCAGTAACAACGGACTTGCAGTGGGTGGGGAGATTCTTGTTTTTTTCCCCTCTTTTGGAAATACTTCAGAGCAACCATCTGTCAGCTCCCACCAGCCTGGAGAGCTGCTCTGACAGCAGATTCAGGCGGCATCTCCCTGCTCAGCAGCAGTACTGCAAAAGAAGCGGACTGGGTAAGAGCTGTGCAGGGCTCGGGAGCAGAGCTGGGGTTGCAGCTGGTGTGAATACTTTCTCTGAAGTGAGAAACCGCACCAAATAGATTCTCTCACACATGCACATGAAACTGCTTGTTTGCTACAGTCAGTCAAAAGCAGAGATTTTGTTTACTGCTTTCTGTGACAATGGGAAATACGGTGTGGCAGTGTAACAGCCTCCTGTCCAGTTTTGGTGAGATCACCAGGGTTAAGCAGTAGCTTGGTTGGAAATGTCCCATGGAAGCAATGTACTATAGGAAAAGGGCTGCTGGGAGCTGACCTGGTGGTGAACTGAGAAGAGATGAGGATCATAACTTAATAATTTCATGCATCTTTATTGTTTTCAGGAAATTTGCAAGAGGAATGGATAAATATCATGACATGGCAGAAGTCAGTACTGAAACCAATAAGCACCAAAATGTGATGAGTTTCTGCTGTGTTTATATTACACACGAACAGTGACTCTGCTTGCAGGAGTGAATGTCTCTGTTGTACATGAAACAACAGGAATCAAATCCTATATCCATCCATGTGTTTGTTGTGGATGAGCCGGTACAGTTATTCACTCAAGAAATAGACAACTAACTTGCATTTCCTTGAAACCCCATAAATGTGCTTTTGAAGGGCTTGTAGCAATATGCTGATGGAATACAATAATTCCAAATATTTAGTTACCAACTATTTACCAACTTGCCAAACTCTATAACAGATTTACCTAATACCAACAATAGACCGGGTATCAAAAAAGCCCTCATAACGTTCTATATTTCAAAACTCCACCACCACCCCCAGCTCCAGACTTCCATGATTACACCAAACCTTTGTGCATTTTCCCCTCCTGTCTGGGAGGTGACCTCCATTTCCCACCTTGACTTCTTCACATTCCCAGGCTATCATACCTTTTTCCTGCCTCAACTGCTGTGTGAACAAATCTATACATCTTTTAATGTAGTATAAGTCCTGCAGCCAGACTAACAAAATTATCCTAAATTATCTGTGGCTCTAGGGTGCAAACAGCCAGCTGGTACTGGCCACCAGTTTCTGGTGCTTTCAATCTACAGCTAGCATAGGTAGAGGCAGAGTGGATATTGCTGTACTCAGGTGCTATACATACCACAGCTGAAGCACAGATAGCTTTATTTCCAATAGGAGCTGATAATACACTTGCTTCTTATGTGGCAATATGGCTGCATATGGTCAGAGGCTCTAGGTAAATGAAATTTTTAAGTAATTTTCTTTTTAATGAAAATTTAATGCCTTAGAAATCCATGGAGGAAATGGAGGAAAAAGATCTTACTACATACAAGAAAAGCTCACTCTTGTTTGATCTGTCTCTTGTACCCTTTGGAAGCAGATATATTTATTTACAGCACAATCTCAGCTCCACTGAAGTCAGTGGGGAGTCTGCCACCAACTTCAGAGGCAGCAGGCTGGAGCTTCCAAGGAGGTGCCTCCAAGGCTGGTGCCTCCAAGGAGTGATCCGCTGAGCATGCTCACCTCCTCTGCTGCAGAAGCCACTAATGTATGCCCTTTGGCTGCTTGCTGTGCTAAACCCACTTATCTGAACCATGACAGCATAAGAAGCAGTTTCAGCAATTAACCCACTTTTGCTGCCATAAAACTAATCAAGCTGCTTCTTTTTATTTACTAGGGCAGTCCATTTTAAGTTCCCAGATGCTCAATTGTAGGGAGGGGACGGTAAGTTTTGCACATTTAAAATGGAGTATTGTATTCATTTAAGGAGCCGGAGGGGAAGGAAACAGCGAGCGATCCTTTTCCCGTCTGAGGATTGACAGTTTGGCAGCCTCCAAAACAGAAAAGTCTTTGTTTATTCCATCATGGCCACAGTGCCCACAGCTGTCAGGTCAGCACTCCCACACTGGCCAGCTCATCTCAGGAAGAACCACTGTGTCCAAGTCATCATGGGCAAGCTGAACAGATCCATCAAAATGGGGTATGGGAGCCAAGCCAACAGGTCAGGCCATGTTTCAGGCAGCTGATAGCTGAAGACTGGGAGTCCCTGGAAATCTAAGAGGGTTAAAATGCTCAACACATCTATAAATCTGTGGAATGAAACTTCAGGGAAAATAACAGTGCAAGAAAGCTGTCAGATGCTAAAGAGGGTGGTTGGGGGGCACTGCTTCTCTTTGAAGTGGGTTAGCAGTGTTAAATATCCACTTTGAAGAACAATCATAATCTGAAACTGTCATATATCCCACCTCCAACTGTCCTTTCCTGGCTAGGGTGCATGAGCAGTGGCTCCTGCCACCAAACTGTGTGAATGGGTGGAGAGGCTGATGGCTGAGGAAGTCCTGAACCATGGGATTAATGTTCACATGTCAAATCCTGAGAGGTGCCAACCTGAGTTATCCCCGCTGCACGGGGAGAGTGGGCATGGATGTGGGGGCAAAGGGGATGAGCAGGAAACACTGCTGAGTTGTAATAAGAGACACTTAAAGCAAAACATGTACTATCCTCTTGATTTCTAGCAACAACAGTTCAGATGAATGCCCATGGGACGCAACACCTGACTTGGAGCCACAGAGCCTACCTTCCCCCTGCTTTATAGCACTGAAGAGCACAGTGATGGCTATCAGTGGTGGCCCACTGGAGGGGTTAAAGGCTGCCCACCTTCCCTGGCCAGCTCTTTTCTCAGCTTCAGTTCAGGCAGATATTAAGTCAGCATTTAAACAAAAGAGCTTTGCCCACACCTTCCCTCAGCCAACTTCAAACTGCAACTTAAGCAAACAGTCCCTGGCTGCAAGTCAGAGCAGCATTGCTCACCAGCACTCAACCAGTACCTGCCCTGTGCCTCTACCTGCTGCTGTTTCAGCTACTCGCAAAGTCCCTCTTCTTGCTTCTCACGTTTCCTAATCCACAGGAAACATCTCCTTCCTCCTTTACCTCCTAGGAGCCATGACAAGTGCCTATCAGAACTATTATCAACACTTTGTTCTTCAAAAAGCCATTCCATTGCACTTGCTGCCCCTTTCAGCATAGTGTTTCCACCAGCTCTGCTGCTCTTACTGTCCCCCCAGCTGGGGACTGGGGAAACCTGGTGTATGAAATGTTGTCTTGAAAGCATTAAGGTTATTACCAAGATGGGGACCTCTCAGAGACACTGCAGCAGGCAAGCCGAGGCTGGCTGTTATGTTGGATAAATGTTTGCCTTGTAAGTGACTGATCAGCAAGAGCTCAGGCAGTAAGGCAAACTTTGGCCACAACTGAGGAAGCCATTGGAGGACTTGTTAAAAAAGTCAAATGAGATAATAATTTAAGTAGAACAAATGAGAGTTAATATCTCTTATATATTTTAAACTCCAGAAATATGGAAGACAACTGGTTTGGACCCTATGTTGTTCTCTTCCCTTTAGCTGTAAGTACCAGTAAGACTAATGAAGATGTCAGTCAGAAAGCAGCTTCATTTGTAACAGTAACTGATTCTGAATTTGATTGAAAATTCTAATAGTTTTCAGCTGACTCAGGCAAAAGGGCAAGATATGAACACTACGGAAAAGCTGAAGTGAGATATGAAAGTGTGAAAAGGAGACAAACATTATAAATCTCTGAATGAGAAAAAAAAAAACAAACAAACCCCATCATTTTCACAAGGGCTTTCAGGTGCCAACAGGGGTGCCCACAGCAGGGAAAAGGAGACCGAGGAGCACTCTCCCCAGTCAGGTTCAGGTTGCGCTCAGGAATTCCTCCCAGGAGCCACAGACAGAGTCACAGACACAGTTTGCTTAAAAGCAGCTGGGATATTGCTAGGTTTTGGGCTGCGAACAAAGGCTAATGAGGCAATGGAAACAGAGGTGCACCTCCACTGAAATAAATCCATCATGAACAGCAAACCCACTGCATGGCCTTGTGCTCCTGCACTGTCCCAGCTGCAACAATCCACCTGCTTGTTGGTGTTCCCTGGGACATCCCAAAGAGCACACCTAGATCCTCACCCCTCTCTATGATTTCTTTCCCATGTTTTTCCCTCTCCATCCCCACATGCTTGGGCACTTTACTCCCTGATCTGGCCTCTAAGCCAGCTTCCCATCTGCCTTCCTCTGTCATCTTCTTTGCCTCTTGGCATGTCAAAAGCCAGTATGAGATGGGGCTAATCTGAAGCTACACAAGGCTAACTGGCAGATAGCTGCAACCGAGCAGAAGACAACGGCCCTCACTTTTCCCCTCACCAGAGGCATTAATAATTTTTTCTCTGGCCATGGATTTCTACATTGGCTTATGGAAAACTTTTTCTCTCTGAGGCCTCCATCAATGTGCCTAATATGTTTATATGGCCAAAAGATTCAGATTATTGCAGGCAGACAGAGAACCAGGCAGAGGGACTGTGTGGATGCAGTCATCTTTGGGAGCTATATTAAAGATCTGGACTGCTATATTTATGTACACCTGAACAAAAAGAAATGTGTAACAAAAGGTGTTTTACTAGCTTCAAAAGAAAGATTTCTGGGGACCTGACAGATAGCAAATAGCTTTATGTGCATCATCAGGTGTCTGGCAGGTGCCGCTAGAGAAACAAAGTCTGTATTTCTCCATGCTCTGTTCACCCTTAGGGAGACACTTCATGCTCAGACTGACATTTTAGTTACATTCATTCCCTGAGGCATTTTACAGAAAAACACAGTAATGTATTTGATTGTTCAGGAGGTACTGAACTTTACATAGATTTGGAAACACAGAGCTCATGCCTGGGAGATCCAACTGCCTTGAAAGAAGCATAGCTGCTGTACTCAATTATATAGAAATGTAAATTTGGTGTAGCAGTAATACCAAAACAGGAGAGAAGTTAGTGCTGCTGGATTGCACTAACCTCAGCTGCAAAGTGTACTGGAAGTTTGCAGTAAAGTTGTTAAAAATGAAGGATAGAAAAGACCTCTTGCAGTGAAAGCCTGTGTGTAGAGAGCCACTATCTTTTGGCTGTCTGAAGCCGAAGTCTGAGGGTGCTGTTGGGATAACATCCTAATGAACATGAAATGTTAATGTCTTAAGATACCCAGGATGTTTCCAAAGTCCCAGTCCCAACACTGAACACAAAATTAAATAATCTGTCATGTGCTTTAGATAATGCCTCAATTTAATGGTCTGAGGTGCAAGCAGCAGGTGTGGGTATGTTACTCCTCATTAGCCCCCAGAGAGAGCTGACGTGAAGGAGAGTGGGTCCAAATAAGAATATGCCACATATGTGAAACTGTGTGGAGTCAGCTTCTACCCTGTGTTTCGTACTGTCAAACCACAGAACTCTATGGAACCAATCTGTCTCATACTGACAACAGAAATGACAAATATGTGCACTGCCTATGCAGAGCTACAGCAACACAAGGTAAGCCAAAACCCCAAACCTGCTGCCACGAGAGCAGCTGCTGGGAGATGCTTCATGTTGTGAATGTGATGGTGAATGAGTGGCCTTGAGCAGGGCACAGGGGTTACAAATGCAAGGCAGCTCTGTGGTTAGAGGAATGTGAGCCTGTGCCAGGGCAGATACAACCTCCAATGCCCAAAAGAGAAGACAGCCAAGTTAACCAGCATGGTCCAGAAATGGGCCATAGCCCAGGCAAGACGCTGGATCATCCAGCCATCCACTTGCTTAAATGAACACTTGGCTTTCTCCTACAGCTGACAGGAGAAGCTGGCATGCAGAACTGTAGCCTGGGAAAGGACATGGGCTCCTGGCCAATGTGAAAAATTTTATTTGATCTCAGTATGCTCTACAAACCAGCCAAAGCTGGGCATTCAGCCCCATCACTTGCATTTACCCCACCAGACATGGGAGCAAATGGAAAGTCATAATGCAATGCCATGGATTTACAGAATCTTGCACCAGAAGGGAAAGTCTCCGGCACGAAGTCAAGATGTGACAAGTCTGTGTAAAGCCTCAGTTTCTCACACATGCAGTCTCTCTCATTTCTGAGTACATACTGAAACATGTTCTCCTCCCTGGAAAAAATCTTGCCTCCCTTCTTTCCAGCCAGAACACGCAAATGGGTTTCTGCACCTTAGTACATCATTTACTGCTGCCGTAAATCTGGAACAGTGTACACTATCAGATGTGCAGTTCTCATTTATAAAGCAGGATTTATGTTTCACCCCTTAGATCTGCAGATGGGTTTTATTGTGATTTATGCCTGTGTCATGAAGGACCATATATAAGAATTACCTGATGTTATCAAGGGACCTATTCTTTTTGGCCCTTATCTTTCTTCTGAAAGCAGAGACTACTTAATCACTGTTAGCCATATCCTGAGTGCAGTGTTCTCTGCGATTTACCCATATCCCTCTTTTCAGTATTATTAACTTGTGATGTTGGGACTAACCCAATGAAATACTCACAGCACATGCTGAATTGCAACTATATATACAATTTATAAATGGCTCTTCGGTGACCATGTTGGTAAATACAATTACAGTCTTAAAGGAGACATTACATCAACATTAACTGAATGCCAGCATGAAACTGATGTATGAAAAAGGCTCTTTGGGTCCTCTGAGTAAAATAATTAGGTTTCCACTATTATTGGTAGAGGCTACACCTCAATAGCATAAGTCGTAGGGAAAAAAATCCCATTTTTGAGAAAAGTGGAAGCCAGATTTCTGAAAGTATTCAGCCATCAAACCACCGATTTAAAAAGGCGTTAAAACACTACAGAAAACCTTGCTTGGAGTAGCAGAGGAGCACCCAGCAGAGTCTCATAATACCCCACGCATTAGACTTCCATGATTTTCACTAGAGCTGGGTACCTAAAAGCTTGTCAGAATGGCACTTAGGTTTCCCTACATTTCTTCAAGTGCTGACATGCCCTCAGATATCAGGCTGATAACCTGTTCTTTCTTGAAAGCTAGTAAGTCATAGGCTCCTAGAGGTGTTTTGGTATCTTACAGTCATTGGAATTGCCTTTGACGGTTAGGGTCTAACCGCCTAAAAAAAGGAAAGATAACCTGTGCCCCTTAGGTGGCTTTGAAACACCTGCAGTAATTGCTAGTAGATGCTGCAGCATTTCAGTAGATCTGTTTACTCTCAAAGATACTGGCCCAAAACATTAAGCTCCAGCACTGCATCTTATTTTGCAAGGGCTCCTTGGCCATATAGGTCTGAGAGTCCTTTTCTCTGCTATTGGTCCAGGAGAGATGGGGAATTTCTCCACTCAAAAAAACCTCACACAAGCCTGCAGTGAGAGACAGTCTTGCTGAGAAGAGTCTTTGAATCTCCTTCAGCCAAGGGGTGAATTAACTCTTGGTTTCCTGCTTCTTCCTGATTGCAGCACTAAGAAACAAATGGCATGGTTTAGTGGGAGGTCTCCCTGCCCATGGCAGGGGGGTTGGAACTAGATGATTTTAAGGTCCTTTCCAACCCTAACTATTCTATGATTCTATGAAAATGTGGCATTCCAGCAGCTGTGACTGCCTACTGTAAAGAGGAGGGCCCAGGTGTTTTTGTGGCTCCACCTGTACAAACAGGTCTCAGTAGTGTTTGGGCATGAGCCGAGTCTTGGTCGAAAGCACCACAGACCTACCATAAGGGAAAACCTCAAGTCTAATCACACATTCATCTAGATGAGAGGATAATTGCAACAACAGCCCTCTTCCATTTTTATCTTGGCAGTAACAAGTACTCCCAGGTAAAAGGTTAGGGCAGTGTACTAAGCCCTCAGAAAGCATCAGGCTGCAAGATGCTATGGCTGAACCTCCTCCCATGTGCCATCTGTTGGCCTTTTCCTTCTGCCTGCCGATAGCAGCAGCTATCTGCAGTGATGTCTCATTTCAGGGAGGGAATTAAAGTGCTTTCAAGTGGCCTTTTCCTCCCTGCATCCTCCAGGACATGTGAGAGCAGCGAGATAGGGATTGGAGGGAGCACTTTCTTACCCCAGGCTCCATGAAGCTTTTTCCTTCGCAGGAGAGGAACTTACCACGCTTAGATTCCTGCTCTTGCTTTGCCTGCCATGATGGTACATTCTTCCTGTCTCATGTGGAAAAATCCCTTTCAGATTTCTGGAAACAAAATTGGGAATTTGGGTCATCTGAAAGACCATACGGGGGATGTCAGGGTTTCTTGGAATGGTCCATGGCTTTAGGAAATTACTCTCAGAATTTGAGTCCTGGCTATTTTTTGCATCCACATGAAGGTTTGTGATGTGCCAAGACTTTGATCTTGAGTGCTGGCACAGAACCCACAGAGGGAGAGGCACCGGACTTAACTTGCTGCAAACCAGGTGTGGGTGTAAGGTGCTAGGAAGTCCTTTTAGGAGCTCAATAGTGGCCTAAGCCATTTTGTCTGAGGTATTCTTTGTGCATGCCTACCAGGCTGAGCCACTGCAGGGATTTAGGGAAAGGAATGATAAATTTCTGGATTCAAAAGAGAGCTGTAGATGCACATGATGTGCTGAGTGGCTCAGCCTGGACAGGATGGGAGCACTTCTGAGACCCAGATATCTCAATGACTGTAAACATCTGGGGTGGTTTAAACCAGGAGGTGCCTTTGGAGTTTACACGTGCTGAAAGCCTGTCAAAAGCTGAATAGTGCTTTTTCTGCATTGCAGTATTAGATTTAGGCACATCTATGCCCCTTTTAGGCTTAAATCCTTAAGCAGATATTGTTCACACCATTCAAATTGATTTCGAGAATTTTCTTACCCGTGGGCAACTTCCCAATGACTGTTCCATTTGTTTTCAGGTTGAGAGCCTAAAGCACCCCAATTTAGATTCTTAACTGCTAAGTAATATGTATTTTTATCAAAGCAAGTAGAAGTCTTAAATGAGGCATAGATTCTTACCCAAATCTCAGCTTTCAGCAGCTCTTGTTACATCCATTTAAAAACACATGTAGGCAGGAGAGGTTTTTTTTGAAAGTATACAAATCAACAACTTCTCCAGACTCCTATAATTCAAACAGCAATTTAAGGACTACAGGATATGACCCATTCTGAATGCTTTCTATTACAGCTCCCTATTTTCTCACACAGACAGAAGTTTAGGAACAAAAATCTCAGCCCCAGAGGAGCATCTCAGATAGTGCAAGTGCATGAAAATGAGAGACTGTAATGCTCGGGGTTTTGTAGCTTTCTAAGTGGGCCTAGAAACATTTACAGCCTTAGCTAATCACATTACATTTGCTTAATTAATGGGAAGAGCCTAAGCTCTCAAGCTGACAGGCTTTGATAGATGAGTACAGCTGCCCTGGCTTTCAGCATCATGTGTGAGTGCTTAATGGGAATAGGGTGGGGCACAATAGGGGGATGCAGAGCCATGAAATAAATGTACTATATGTGAATGGAACTCCCATTCGTGATTACTCTGCACCTGAGAGGGAGAAGTAGCTCCAAGCTGCCTTTGTGTGGGCTGGACCTGAGACTGTGCAGGTATCTGACCCATCATTGCTGCATGGAGGGGACAGCTCTTTCCCTGGCACAGCCCAGGCACATCACTATGCCCCGGGTCACCACCCCGGGGTGGGGGGGCTCCCACCCACTTAACATCCCTTTAGACAGCTTGAGAGTACCTTCTTGTAACAAAGAGTTGGCTATAAACTAGAGCTAGAGTGGAGAGAGCTTCAGTGGTTTCCTAGGCAGGGAAAGAGAAATCCTGCTGTAGATGGCACAGATCACCTGCATTTTTCAGAGCTTCCTTTGTACTTAAATGAGAAAACAGCCTTGTCTCTTGAATTATCTGCCCCTCCAAATGACTTCTCATATACTTGCGTACACGAGCCTGAAACACATGATATAAGCAGCTGTCAGGCCAACTGCTCTAATGATAATCGAGCCAGTTGTACATACTTTCGTACATCATACCCTATTGCATCCGACTCTTACCCTGTTACCAACTGCTTCTTGTCTGTTTTCTCTAGGAAATGGACTTTATCAGTGTGATTTGCAAAACACCCTCCAATCCCAGCTGGGAAAATCATACTCTTCCCCCATTTCCCTTCTAACACTTTCTTCAGGGCTTCAAGTTGCACAGCAGGGCCAATTAGGAATTCAAACCAGGTAGAAAGTGGATATACAGTAGCAATGAGAGCCAGGGGCATGATTGATGATGCTTATACAAATGCTTCTGGCTTGAAAAGTGATGTCTGGGTTGATTCCAGAAGCTGTTTCTAATTTCAAAAGGATCTTATGAAAGGAAAGAAAAAAAAGAGGGTTAGCAGCACATGCTGCAAAAGGCAACTTCCACAGATTATTCCATCCCCCCCAAATCAACCAATTACTAAGAGCAAAGCGTGAGAGAACTAACAAGAGCTTTTTACTCATACTGATCCTCCTGCACATTAACTGAAATAGGCCTCAGACTTTGTTTTATTTTTCTGCGGGATTCCCAGCAGTTAAGAGTTGCATTGGTCTAAGCGTGGTTTTAAAATTAACACTGTTAGCATGTATTAGGAAAAATAGCTTAAGATTACGAAAACCTAAGTAGCTACTAATGACAGTAAAAAAAGCCAAGCTCTGTATTTCCCATTGACTCAAATGGATCTGTGCAATTTTTGAAGAAAACAAGAGGTTTTCTTACATCACCTCTGATTTTTACTGACATTTGCTAGCAATGCCCATCTGTGGCTCTGTGCATTCATGTGTAGCTTCGACATAGTTACACCAAACCCCTCAGTCCCTGCCTGTCTTCTTCATCAATCAATGGCCCTTCAGTACTGTCCTGGCACATCCCCTTCTGCCAGCCATGGCAGGAAGGGAACAGAAATCCTATGAAAAAAGCCGTTGACCCAGATTTATCCTGGAAGCAGCCAAGCCCAGGAGCAACAGAAGATGAATGCTGGGTAGGTGTCAAGGAAGCATGCGGACCTGCCAGCTCTGCAGTGACACAGGCGATGAGCTAGTGGATACCTGGATGTCTGCCAGTGGGGCTGCTGGGCTTCTGGAAATCTTGGGCACATGCAGAGGGACACTGTCCTCTGTGCAGCAAGTCAGATGCATTAGCCTTCTTCCACGTGTGGAGGCAATTCTGAATGATCTTGTTTGGGATGCTTTAAAACATACTTTTGGACACAAAGGAGTCATTAGGGTTGTGTGTACAAGCTAACAGGGATGGGAGAGCCCCAGAGGCTCTAGGACAAGTGCATGGGTCTGGAAAGCTGGTTAAGACTGACAGGAGATCTGGAGAGCTTCACTAATACTTGGTACTGTGGCAAGTATTTGCACTAATTTAAATGAAGAGTCTAATTTAGGACTGTGGTCTCCAGGGGTCCTTGTATATTTACTGGAGAAAGGCTGGCTTTCATGTTGTGTGATCCACAGAGGAGCCTGTATTACATGGGAGATGAGCCCATTTCATCCAGCAACTGCAGAGGGAGCCATGGTAGCTTGGACTCTTCGGGCTCTTCACTTGCACACCTAAGTCAGACACAGAGTTAAATGCTGTGTCTATCCAAGAGGGAGAAGCCATAGTGTTTGTGTTTAAGCAGATGTCTGAATGGGATAGGACATCCCCTGCCCTAGAGACAAGACCTGCAATCCTCACTAGACAATATCCTCATGGTCCACAAGAGCCACTTCCTTCTGGGTCATGTCAGCATGACCGCTGTTCCTGGCCTTGTTCTAGCTCTTGGCAGCAGTGTAAAACATGATTTCCCTTTATTCACGTCTGAATCATACACTGGGTTCTGACCCGCACCTACTGCCATCACTCTGTGTGTGGTGCAAATGTTACATGGTTCAGAGGTGGGTGTATCGTTCCTCTGAGTAACGTTAACCATGGTAAGACACCCTACCTTTCTAAAAGCTTTCTGCTCCTTTGACGACTACTACTTCATTGCTTTTAAGGGGGCGGGGGGGTGGAGGGGGTGGCAGTTATCCTTAGCATCAGTAGAGCTCTTCAAATAGGTTTAGGGATTTCAGAGTGCTGGCTGTTCTTTTGTTTTGCAAATCTGAGTGAGCTGGAGTCAGATGGGTAATCAGGATGCCTGGTTTAAGGCATTGTTGCATGTGGCAATTCATTAAAAAGCCCCAGGGAATAAGAATGAGTTTTTTATTTTAAAAGCTATAATGTCTAGAACACACACAATGTTCTCTCTTAACCCAGATTTGTCACAGCCAGCTGCTATAAAATGCCATTCTGTGCTGTAAGCCGTCTTCAATGTATTGTCATTATAATTGACAACAGATTTTTTATGTTTTTTTCAAGTGACACTTGAGGAGGATTGGAGGATGACAGCATATGACTGCGTAAAATTATAGTTAGGGAAACATGGGAAGAGCCAGCTCTTCCCAGAGAGCTTGTGGCTGTCAGGCAGGGTTTTATTTTGTGTGTCTGAAACGGGATTAATCCAAAAAGCTCATGGATTTACTGCCATTTGTGCTCTGGTCCTTTATAAAACCAAGTAAACCGGCGTCTATTTTGAATACACTGGATTAAGATCTGACCTCATATTTTGCAGGGTTTGGGCAACAGAGCAAGTCTTTGATAGGGCCCGGCATGCACAAGAGGGTCAGGGTGGAAAGAGCTGCCTGCACCACTGTCCTGGGCTTTCCAGCCTGGTTGTGAATGAGCCCCTTTGGCTTGCTGGGACACCCCTGCCTTGCAGGCTGCTGCATTGTATGTACGGGGTGGGGGGTCCTCCATATTTGTTTTCAAGGTTGAAACAATCTCTTTGTCCCATTTACATTGCAGGCAAGCAGCATTAAACTCTTTTTTGTCTAATTACTGCCCCTCCTCCATCTAAAAGGTCTCTACTTACCCAACTGACAGGGACTTCTCTTGTTCAAGGAAGTCCCTGCTCCCATGCCACCTTACAGGCACAGCCTTGAGCAGCAGGACTACATTTTAGATCCTACATTCAAAAAGTCTTCAGCAAAGAAGAAACATTAAATGCCACTAAGTCTTAGGCAGATGGAGAGTAATCAGCAAAAATTGAAACAGAATGCTCCAGAAAGGCTCTTATACCAGCTGTGGTGGGTAATATGGAGGGAATATGGAAAGGAGGTGATGGAGGAGTAAAGGCAAAGAGAATGAAAAGCAGGTAAGTAGAAGGAAAACATGAAAGGGAAAAATATCTGAGTGCTGATTTTTGGAGAGCTGGCTTACTCTTGAAAGCTGCAAAGTACAAATGCTCTGCTTGAAAGTAGCCTGCACCAGCAATACAAAGCATTTTCTCTGTAATGCATGCATTTAGTGAGCACTCCAGATTACGTTATAATGGTCAGCCATAAGTCTCTTAAACCACTATACTGAGTGTACCCTTACCTGCAATAGTTTTATGAGGGTAGCAGGTCAGATGGACCACAGCCCTTCTGCAAACCAGGCCTCTTATTGTACTCAGCAGATACTACTTATCCTAGGTCTTAGACATTAAATACACCTCTGTTCAGTTTTGTATAGCAAAAATGCAGAAAATCATAAAACCATAGAACAGTTTGGATTGGAAGGGACCTGAAGATCAAAGCTCCAACCCCCCTGCCAAGGGCAGGGACACCTTCCACTAGGCCAGGTTGCTCAAGGCCCTGTCCAACCTGGCCTTGAACACTGCCAGCGATGGAGCAGTCACAGCTTACCTCGGCAACCTGTCTGAGTGCCTTGCCACCCTCATAGTAAAGAACTTCTTCCTTATATCTAATCTAAATCTACCTTGCCCCAGTTTAAAGCCGTTTCCCCTTGTCCTGTCACTACATGCCTTGTAAAAAGTCCCTCTCCAGATTTTTTGTAGGCTCCCTTTAACAAGTCCTCTTTGAATATAAAAATACTTGTAAATAGGCTACCTCTGAATGCCACTGTCATTTTTATATGGTCTTGTATTGCTAACCCCAGTGAAGACAGGCTCCTTGAGAACACTGTGCAAAGCAAAGAGAAAGGTGATTCTTGAAGTGCAAGAACTAGCAAGGTTCAGAGTGCAGGCTAATAAAAATAAAGTTATGATGTTGAAAGAAACCCCTCACACCCATAAACAGACAAGTGATTGACTGACCCGCATAAGCATCATTCTTCTTTTTAGGAAGAGGTTACCAGATGAAGACAGGAACAAATTATGTAGCAGAATTGAATGTTTTACGGAGAGGTCATTTCTTAATTGAAATTGTCCAGTAAGAAGGATGGCTACGAATTAAGGCATAATTGCAAAGCCACATGCCTTTTGTATGAATAAAGAAGCAGTTCACAGCTTTTCTGTCAAAATGATTACTGAATTTCTGTCAAAATGAGTACTGAATTGAAAATTATTGGTGAAGCTGGCATTTTTTGTGGAGCGTGTCTCCTTTTACAGAGGCACTTTCCATTGCTGCTGCTAGAAGCCTAAGCAGTGCAAAGTCCCAGCCACTTCTTCCCCTCGTGGTGCCTAACTGATAATATCTGATTTATACTTTTGCTTACTTGATGAAAAGTCAAC